CTGTTATCACTGTGTCTTGCCTCGTGGGAACCCACCTACTCTTCATTTTAAAAAATTTTTTTATTAGAAATCACAAATCAGTTTAGACAAAATACACACCAAAATTATCAATAGAAGTCAAAAGTTCTCCGCAGTGACTTCCCGTCTATGGAATGCTCCCTTCAGGGATGTTCACCTGGCACCTTCATTATACACCTATAGGCCCCAAGCAAAAATGTTCATATTTAACCAGGCCTTTGGTGATTTTATTGACATCCAACACCCTTTTAAAATGTAGCTTGCGGGGTGTATGTGTGCAGATATTGGGTTACTGCCTTTGGTTTGATTTTATATGTTGCGGTCTTGTTGTGAATTGCCATGAGATCTCTGGATATAGGGCCGTGTATAAGTTGAATAAATAATAATAATAATAATAGTAAAAACTGAGGATATTAGTAGGAAACAGGAAAGAGGTCTGGATGGAGAAACAGTTAGCTGATTAAATTAGAATGCTAGTAACAGGAGAAAGTAAGGGAAAATATCAAAGGGGAAGGCCAAGCTATTTTAGAGCAGCAGGTTCTGTAATAGGGACATTGCACTGTGGTCAGTACATGGGATCAAGGTGTGGTCCAAACCCAAATATGGATTGGTTCCACAAGGATGCTTATCTGATGGCCTAGACGGGCCTTGGGTGTGATCTGCTCTTAGGTTCTAATGGAAAGGGGCTCTCTCTCACTGGAAGTCTGTAAGCAGAAGCCATTGAGGATACTCTAGTTCTGGGTTGCTTGCATTGTTGGAATCAATGACCTCCATGGCTCCCTCTGACTCCCCAATTCTCTCTATCCGCTTCCCCCATCATCCCTATTAAGCCCTGTGGATAGTGTGAATTAAAGCCCCCTATCGGACTGCGAGAAGATCAAACCGATCCATTCTTAAGGAAATCAGCCCTGAGTGCTCACTGGAAGGACAGATCCTGAAGCTGAGGCTCCAATACTTTGGCCACCTCATGAGAAGAGAAGACTTCCTGGAAAAGACCCTGACGCTGGGAAAGATCGAGGGCACAAGGAGAAGGGGATGACAGAGGACGAGATGGTGGGACAGTGTTCTTGAAGCTACCAGCACGAGTTTGACCAAACTGCAGGAGGCAGTGGAAGACAGGAGTGCCTCGCGTGCTCTGGTCCAGGGGGTCACGAAGAGTCGGACACGACTAAACGACTAAACAACAACAACAACATGGAAGCAGACTGAGCACAAAGCTCTTCTGGTTTCTCAAACAAGAATGCAGTGGATGTTCGCCCCACGTCCCTAATCCTATAGCAAGGTACTGTTCTTTGGAACCAGAAGATGTTACGCAGCACTTTCTCTCCGTCTCCTTCCCACGTAGGCAGGAGTCGGACACTTCACTGCCTTTGCAGGCATTTGCCTACTTCAGAGAACCTGAAACCACTCTGCAATTTGGCACAAGCCCCCAGGACTGGCACCTGTCCAGGGGAGGCCCGGGACTGGAACAGGAGTAGATTTCCAAGCCACGGTTGAAATGCAATGTCAGAAGGAAGCCTGTACTGTGACAGATAAGTCCTGTCTTGCATTGTGCCTGGCTCTGAGTCAGGCTATCACATCTCTCCCTTAAGTAAGTACAACATTGACACAGAAACGTGTATGGCTGAATAATCCTCCTGCCCTTGCAAAGCCTGACAAAGGCCAGGAGGCTGGGCATGAGGAATTTGCAGGAATTAGTTGTGGGGAAGCTTCCAAAATCCTTCCTTTCCATGTTTCTCCCCAGATCTTGGAGTTCTGAATTATCTGGAATTAATTTCTGCAATTAACTTTGCAGTGGAACCGTGAGATGCACTACGAATGCCCCATATTTCCACTTTGCCTTTCCAAATGTTGTGTGGGGCAGCTTCATGCACCGTTTTGTCATAAACTTTCAGTTCCTTCGTGTCTCTCCTTCCACTAAATTACTGATGTGCATGCTAAAACATGCCAGAAAAAAAAATCTTGGTGTGACAGCATAAATAAGCAAAATTAGGGTCATTGCATTTCTGATCATTTGTCTCTTGCTTTACTAATGCTCACATGTGCATTAAGATTTCTTTTTGGAAGTGTTCCTTCATTGTAGATATGAATAGTAGTAATGGTTGCTCGAGCTTAGTATTGAAGACCCTCCAAGTATCCCTATTTTCCAGGGTCAGTTCCAGATTTACAGTAACCATCCTGGTTTCTGATTTGATCCCAGGATGTTCCATTTTTCCTTTAAAAGGTAAAGGTGAAGGGAGCCCTGACCATTAGGTCCAGTCATGACTGACTCTGGGGTTGCGGTGCTCATCTCTGGCGTACAGCCTTCGGGTCATGTGGCCAGCAAGACTAAGCCGCTTCTGGCGAACCAGAGCAGTGCACAGAAATGCCGTTTACCTTCCCGCCAGAGTGGTACCTATTTATCTACTTGACCTTGATGTGCTTTCGAACTGCTAGGTTGGCAGGAGCTGGGACCGAGCAACGGGAGCTCACCCCGTCACGGGGATTCGAACCGCCAACCTTCCGATCGGCAAGTCCTAGGCTCTGTGGTTTAACCCACAGCGCCACCCGCGTTTACCATAGTTAAAAGCAGAAAGTGGCAAATGTGTCTTCTTTTTTGCTCTTCAAAATATGGCAATATCAACCTCCGCCTCTTCGGAGTTTCAGACAGGGAGATGTTGAAGACTGGACCTGGGGCCATTTGCATGCAAATCATCGGTGCTACCACTGATCTATAGCCCCTCCCTGAAAATAGCATCTAACTTCATATGCTACTATTCCAGAACTGACCATGCTGTATCTTTATTTGACCACTTGCTGACACCTAACAACCTCATCTGTTTCCCCCAGATTATTTCCCTCTCATAAATACGAGGCAGGGATTGTTTCTATTTGGTAGCTGTTACAAGCAGTCCCCGCACAATAAAATTAATACGCAGGCTGGGCCTTGTTTTAGGGGCAGCTCTGAAAATGATGAGACCTCGCCATCCGAAGAGCATCATTATCTAGCGCGGACGGCCTTGATTTGTATCTGCCATTGTCTCGGGGGCAGGTTTTTCGTTATTAAAATGTTTCTGGCATTTTCAAGTGTAGAACTGCCTTTGCACAAGCTACATTTTTTCGGTCTTGCGAGCTTCCTGCAATGAAGTGGATTTGTGGGGAGATGAGATGGAGGAGGAGGAGGAGGAGGAGGAGAGGGGAGAAACAGAGAGGGAATGGGGACCCTATTTAGCTGTGACTGTACCAGAATACAGAAAAGAACCCTGGGTTGTACAAACTGTGGTTTTTCAATCAATGGGAGATGAGGGAGACCTTGAGGTGATGTGTCTGCTGATTTGCATTTTATGCAGATAAGCACCTGAAACTTATAGTAGCTGGTAATTCCTATTATACCTGTGTCATCATCTCGTCGTAAACCAGGCTTTCTTTTAATTAATCCAGCTAGACTACGGAGCTCCCTATGTGTTAGATTAGGGGGATAAACAAATCCAAAAGGGGGGGGGAGCAGCAGAGTTATTAGGCAAAATTGCTGCAGATGCTTAATTTGCAATCCTAGCATTTTGCTAATTCAAATGGGCAATTAATTGTTTTGCTGGGAGCGAGCCAGTGGCTGGGCTCTTCAGTCAGACTGGCACAAAGGCCTTTTGCAGATTTTGTATTCATGGACTGCACATAGCTGGGAATTGAATTGCTGGATACCTAATCTCTTGGCAGCAGTTTTTCCTCATGCAAAATGCCTTATGATTGTTGCTGTTGTTTTACATTTATATACCTCCACCCAAAGATCACAGGGCACTTTGCAACATAAACATACAAAATAAAAACACCAAATGCATAATATAATAACAACCCCCCCCCAATAAAAACCAGTAACTCTGATCTCACAACCATTCAAAAGGCCATAGATGGTTTATTCAGCCAAAGGCCTATTAGAAGAGGAGGAATGTTTTTTGCCCAATGCCTAACCATATGTAATGAGCCAGGTGAGCCTTCTTGGGGAGAGCAGTCCACAAAAGGGGAGCCACCACAGGAAAGGCTCGTTCTCATGTTGCAGCCCTCCAGACCTCTCAAGGAGGAGGCACATGAAGGAGGGCCTCAGATAATGATCTCAGGTTCCAGGTAGGTTCATATGGGGAGAGGCGGTCCTTGATGTATTGCGGTCCTGAGCTGTTTAAGGCTTTATAGGTCAAAACCAGAACTTTGAATTGGGCCTGAAAACTAACTGGCAGCTGGTGCAGTCAGGCTAGGATTGCTACCATATGCTTAAAACGCATTGCCCCAGGGAACAACCTTGTGGATGAAAGATAACAACAACAACAGCAACAACAACAACAACAACAACAACAACAACAACAACAACAACAGTCCAGTCATGGCTGACTCTGGGGTTGCAGCACTCACCTCGCTTTACTGGCCGAGGGAGCTGGCATACAGCTTCCAGGTCATGTGGCCAGCATGACTAAGCCGCTTCTGGCGAACCAGAGCAGCGCACGGAAACACAGTTTATCTTCCCACCAGAGCGGTACCTGTTTATCTATTTGCACTTAGGTGCTTTCAAACTGCTAGGTGGGCAGGAGCAGGGACCGAGCAACAGGAGCTCACCCCATCGCAGGGATTCGAACCACTGACCTTCTGATTGGCAGCTTTTGCTGATGGTTTTCTTTGCACCTCCTGCATGTGGCTTTGCTTTCAGTCTAACTTGATCTTGTTCGTGTTTTCACCGTAACAAAAAAAGAAGAAGCTGACAAGAGAGCTTTGGGCGCAGCAGTTTGTGTGCACACAGTCCCTGATCACACTTGTGGGCTTTATTCTTTTAATAGCAAAGCAGTGACAGATTCGTAAGAAATGACCAGAATAGGACCGGGACAGCATGTTGCAGAGTGAGAACTCTGGGGAGGAACTATCGTAATTCCCACACTGTGCATGAGCAGCAGAGGGGGCTAGATGTGGTTTAAAAAAGGAGCCAAGATACTTGCCCCTCCACCCAAACTCCTTTTTCATGGGGAAGGGTTGTAGCTTAGTGGTAGAGCATCTGCTTTGAGTGCAGAAGGGCCTAGGTTTCAATCCTTGACACCTCCATGTAGGAATTGGAACATCCTATGCCTGAAATCGGGATGCGGGTGGCGCTGTGGGTCAAACCACAGAGCCTAGGACTTAGGTCCAGTCGCGAATGACTCTGGGGTTGTGGCGCTCATCTCGCTTTATTGGCCGAGGGAGCTGGCGTACAGCTTCCGGGTCATGTGGCCAGCATGACTAAGCCACTTCTGGCAAACCAGAGCAGCGCACAGAAACGCTGTTTACCTTCCCACCGGAGTGGTACCTATTTATCTACTTGCACTTAGGTGCTTTCGAACTGCTAGGTTGGCAGGAGCAGGGACCAAGCAACAGCAGCTCACCCCGTCACGGGGATTTGAACCACCGACCTTCTTATCGGCAAGCCCTAGGCTCTGTGGTTTAACCCACAGCACCACCTGCATCCCATAAAATGGGATATCAAATCCAAACTCTTCTTCTTCTTAAAAGGGAAGCTTAGATAGGCTAGTTTTAGTCTTTTAGTGTTAGAAATCCAGGATGCTTTAAGGCAAACTGGATTTTCTCCCCCTTAAAATAATAATCACACCAAGTCTTGTAAAAGGTAAAAATCATATTTGCTCACTCCATTTCGTAGAATAACAGATAAAGCAGCCAGACTTAAAATGCTAATTGAGTTACTAAGGCATCCTAAGGTTTAGCTTAAAAACAGAGTCTGAGCTTGAGCTTTGAGCTACAGATGTTTTCACATTGCAGGCATGGTGAAAAAGAGAGCGTGCGTCCAGGCAGGGAGCAACATATATATAGCTATGCCCTCTTCCTGTCAGGGCACCATAGGGAAGTGATCTCACAAAGTTCCCTCTAGCAAGCTTACAGGAAAGCTCTGTGAGCCTCAGCCCATTCATGCGCCTATCTGGCAAAACATGAATTGTTGGTTTGGCTGCCATAAATACCTCACACTCACTACCTCAAGCACAAGGGCCTCATGAGAGCCTACAGGCCTCTCCATCGGGGCCTGGGGAGTCTTCCCAGACCATGCCATGCCACTGCTCATCTACTGTTTTTAGATTGGGATAAAGGACGGGATAGAAAGTTAACAAATAGATGATGATGATCATTTTCAATCTATTAGCTGCTTCACTCATAAGGCATCTCCAAGCAACTCTCAACATTTTAGAAGTATAAAGCATGACATAAAATCAGGTTAAAAAAAAGAACAATGGGCTCCCATAAAAGCCATACAGTGAGCTATCAAAGAAACCCCATAAAACAGCAGCAACAAAAATTGAATTTCTTGATTTCAATAAGAGGACAAGAACAGATTGTACTGTAACCGCAGGTATGCCACTAAAAATGATGTCCCTCTGCTACAGTAACCTCATTCCAGCTTCAGCTCCTGCAGGTGCTCACCACATAGAAGTGGGCATTTGATGGGGTTTTTGTTACGATTCTTGGCACTTTCATTACCACTTGCCTGTTGGCTGCAGGGGACTTCTTGAAACAAATCAAGAAGAGCAATTTATACAGAAGGTTCCAGGTTCAATCCCTGGCATCTCAAGGGTAGGGTTCCTGGGAGAGAACACCACCTGAAGCCCAGGTGAGCTTCTGCTAGTCAGGGTAGACAATATTGGGCTAGATCCAGGTAGGTAGCCGTGTTGGTCTGACGCAGTTGAAATAAATTAATAAATTTAAAAATTGTCCAATAGCACCTTAGAGACCAACTAAGTTTGTCCTGGGTATAAGCTTTCGTGTGCATAGTATCTGAAGAAGTGTGCATGCGCACGGAAGCTTATACCCAGAACAAACTTAGTTGGTCTCTAAGGTGCTACTGGACAATATTGAACTAGATTAGTGTTTCCCAAACTTGGGTCTCCAGCTGGTTTTGGACTACAACTCCCATCATCCCCAGCTGGCAAGACCAGTTGTCAAGGATGATGGGTATTGCAGTTGGAAAACAGTTGGAGACCCAAGTTTGGGAAACACTGAGCTAGATAGACCAATGAATCTGACTCAATCTGAGGCAGTTTCCTGTGTTTCCTAGGCCCAGAATAGTTTGCCATGGATAGATAATACACAGCAGCATTTCACTAGCAATTGTTATGTGGATGTTGGGTCTTGCTTACACAAGCCATAGATCGTATGCTCACCCCTGGACCATATCATTTCAGATTGCTGGTGGGAGGATTGCTTGCTTGGATGCCGTAGCACTGAAAACTCCTTACGCACAGAAAAATAGCCTGACAGAGGGAGGTCTGAGCTATGAGTTGCCTCCAACTATTCCCTACTCAGAGTGGTCTTATTGAGATCAATGGGCATGACTGACTTGTCCATTAGTCAGGATAGAAGTTAGTTGGAGACAGCTCTGGCCTTTCATGTGTGGGTGGTTTTTTTTTTGGGGGGGGGTAGAAAGGTAAGATCCACAGATCCAATTCCCCACCTGCAGCTGAAAGTGGTACAATCCGGGCTCAGTTTCACCCTCTGGTGCTGTCAGCCCCACAGCTACAAAATATGGGTTATGCAGAAGAGACTATAGTTTTGCAAGGTGGCAGATAATTCTGAGATCATTTTCAGTTGTGTCTGCTGATTGCGAAGACCTAATATTTTGTAGGCTCCCGACGATTCAGTTCAGTGTTAATTTTTTGCTCTTCATCCTTTGCAAACTGCCGTCTGCTGAACTGTCTGTCTGTGTGTGTGTGTGTGTGTGTGTGGATTAAGCCCTGAAGCTGGTTAGTGCATATGGTACAGTTCTAGTCAGGGTCACACGCCAATAATGATTAAAAGCAACGCCGAGCATGCCCAGTGGCTCCTGTGGCAGGACATCGTACAGCCTTCCTCAGCTGGTGCCTCTTAACTCTCCAGTCGCCTGCACGCCCCCGAGTTAAGGGCAAAAGTTTCCCGCCTCCAAAAGCTCAGTGGGCAAAGAGGAATTGGCCGTCCCTCGTGGAAGATGAACAGTTGTGTGTGTATAGTGCTGCTAGGCTGGATTTTCATAATGCAGAATTAGAGGGGATTTTTGCCTTCCCTCTGCACGCATTAGTCTGGCTTTCCAAACAAAATAAAGTATTTTCTTCTCTCGGGTGCCTCTCTCCCTCTCTGTGTTTTATATGTCAGGGATCATGACAGCCATTCGTTGTTCACGATGCATTAAAAGAGTATTTTATGGGGATTAGAATTTATGGGGATATGTGACGTTCCAATCGTCCCTCCAGCACAGTCTGTTTTTACTGTCTGCTTGAAATGGGATTGAGGTTTTATGTTTCCAGAGTGCAGGGTGAGGCTGCGGGTTGGGGGGAAAGGGCAGCGATGGGGAAAGCGGCAGAAATGAGGAGCTAGTGTGGGTTTCCCCAACCTGGAGCGCTCCAGATGTTGTTGGACTACAAGTCCCATCATCCCTGACCACAGGTCATGCTGGGTGGGGCTTATGGGAGCAGCAGTCCGTCTAGAGCAGCTGGAGGGGAGCGGGTTGGGAAGGCTAATCCCAATGGTTGGAGCAATTCCATGATTAATAGCCAAATTTAAATGCCTGACAGTTATCCTCTTGATAGTTCACATAAGTTAAGCTCGCACTACAGCAGAAAAATGGGTCCTTCCCAAAGAGGATATCTGAGATTCGTGCAGAGAGAGTGGGACAGAATCAAAAGCCATATTTCCTAATACAGGGGCCAAGAACCTTTTACAGACATCATCATCAACAACAACAACAACAACAACAACAACAACAACAACAACAACAACATCATCATCATTATTCCCCACTTTCCCCCTTCATAGGACTCAAGGAAGCATACAGCTAAAAAAATAAGAGCCACTAAAGGAATACTGTTATGTACTGAGGTTGGATCCTAGAACAATAGGCAGGTAGGATCCTAGAAGGCAGCAACCTGATTGGTCTGCAGGAGCCCCACAATCTGGCTACAGGAGGAAGTGAATCAGCAACCTAATTGGCCTGCAGGAACAGTCCAATCAGGCTCCAGGAGGGGAGTTGAATCAGCCAGTCACACAGGATCCATTGTGTAAATAATGTATATATAGCCAGAGGTTTTGGTGGAAAGCACTCACTCACTGTTACCATGAGCTGAAATAAAGAGCATGAAATCAACACTCAACTCCGAGTATATTTCACATACGATTATAATTATTAAAATTATTAATTATTTGCAGAATACTTAAAAGCTCAGTGTAAGTATGTTAAAACACAAATAGTATTTGAGTAGGAACAGCAGTGGGGGTGAACTTTTCTGCTTTTCTTTTATGGTAATGTGAAGGTATAGAGCAACTATAATATGCAGCATAAATTGAAATTATGGCGGAACCAGGGAGGGAGGGGAAGTCATAGGTGGAGTGATTGACTGTTAAACTTGAAATGTTGTTGAATTGTTTACTTGTTAAAAAAAAGTATTAAAAATTATTTTTTAAATATTAAACATTGATAGAATTAAAATCACACACATATATAGAGTATATTAAAACAAGGACCACATGTCCCTTCCAGGCAGCCTTCTGAAGCCCACATACCACTGATGGTGGGAGGAGGGCAGAGACAGAAGTGGGTAAATCAATAAATGAACATTTCTTCCTTTGTACAGTAGCTCTATGTAAGAAAATAAGGTGTCGTTGCAGGATCAGGCCCTTGGCCCATGTAATCCAGCCACCTCTTCCTACAGTGGCCTCTAGGAAACCCACCAGCAGCACCTGACAACAGGAGCACCCTCTGCTCCTGTAATTCCCAGCAAGTAGTATTCAGGAATTTGTCCCTTTTTTGCCCCTGGGGCTTGGATGTGAACCTTAGATGCAACAGGGGGCAGTATGGTGGGGTGCTTAGACTGCCAGGCTAAGTCTGGCAGCACCTCCTATGGAAGGTGCTGCCAGGAAAGTGTCCGTAAATATCCCCTTCAAAATCCACAACGCACAAGAGACTGTCTCCTCTTCAGGCTCAATCTTGTGTTTGCAGTCGATTAGCTTCTCATATGTTGAACGCCACCCTTTCAACATGCTCACACTTCATTGGACAACAGGACGGGACACCCTAACACTCTCTTATTCTGACC